AATTAAAATGGTGGTAACATTCATATGACACGAGCAAACGAATTGCAGAATAAAATAAGTGCATTATAAAGTAATTAATTTTCTGACCCTTCATAAAAGAGTATTGCATCTCTTGAAAAAGGAAACATAGCAGTTTAAAAACAATGACCGAGATTTTTCGTTCTCTGTATAGCATATTTTTCATTATCTATGTATATATAACGTCATATATGTATATATGCATAATAATTCTCTTTATGAAGTTCTTTGCCTGTCCGTCTGATTTATCTGCCTGTTAACGGCCGCCTTATTCAAGTTAATAAATATGCTACTTTTCAAAGTTAAAGTAATTATTTCGTCTCTATATCTACTTAAAACTTTTTTCCACATTTAGAAGCATCATCTGTATTACGTAGTAAAAGCAGATATAATGGTTGGAACCGGGTGGATAAACAGACGGACGGCCCCTTTCTTGCTAAATACGTAGTACGGTCTACCTAGCAAGCTAGTTGTCGCTGTCTGTCTGTCTGTCTGTCTGTCTGGCGATCTGTTTTGTTAATCTGTTCTTTTGTCTTTATTTAACAACCCCATTTATATTCACCCATTCACGTAACAATTTCGACGATACAGTCTCGACGCGGCTCGGCGATCCAAAGAAAAACTCAACAAATTTTCAGAACTAATTAAAATAACTCTCATTCCAGGCAACTAAAATGACACAATATATCACGGTATATCCTTAACGGATAACAAAGCAAACGACATGATTTGCGATGAAAAGTTGATCGAGCCTCTTGCTTCTTTCGTATGTTTAAAAAAAGTGGTACTTCACATTCGATCTAAGGAAGACGAGACGGAATGTTGCGTCGGAAATGATATCTTCGATACATTCATTTTTATAGACACGTACAGATAAAAGATAAAACACAAAATTGAAAAGATCTCTTGAAGAGACGCGTTTCGTGTTGACAGCCAAGACTGCCATTCGGACGGAAATTTCATTCAATTGTCTTTGAGGAATGACATTCGCGAACGATCTATTTTACGGTTATTAATTACGTCTTCGGGCCCGAAATAGATGTAACGATCGATCGGTCGAGCCACGATCAAGGCTGCCGTCTAAGCGTGCACTATATAATTTAGTTTCATCTCACACACTTGATATCGTTTCCATATTACTCACTGTCACACGGCCAATGCTCTGAGTATGTCGTATGCTGGATGGATTAATTGATTTACCTGATTGATCAACAGTCGGCTCGCGTGGAATATATTAATTAATCGTTTGTGTCCTTTCCGTACGGTACTACACTATTATCGTTGCGATGTTGGTGTTGTTGTTTAATACATCTATATATATTCTAATCATTGTATTGATGTTGATGTTGTTGTTAATTTGATGTTTTTGATGTGTTGTTTAGTCGTTGTTATCTTGCTGTTTGTTTGATGTTTGCACTATATTGTTGCACTTGGTGTGTCCACGTACACACACTTACATACGTATATGTATATATCTCTTATCACGTATTATACGTACACGTATTATCTATGCCGTGCACAAAATAAATTACTTCCGCCATTAAGAACTTTATACTATCCATACTATGTCCAACCACAGATATGTATATATAAGAGTTATTTCAATTTTGTATTCAAATACATCTTATCTCTCTTGCCGTATATACTACGTTAATAGCATCAATAGCATTAATGGCACATGACACAACTGAGAGATCTAATTGATGATCTAATTTAATTATAGTTTTTTTTAACAAGTTTCTACTTGTGTAATATACATGTATATGTACATAGGGTGTCTGGTAATGACAGGATCATCTCTTACGGGCAGGTAGAGTGAATTACATACTGCATCGAAGAATCCTTTTCCGTTTTGCAAGTTTCTCAATTAATGAGAAATTAATTAATAAAGATGCACGAATCAATGTGCGTTTATGCGATTCGACAGTCCAGCGTTATTAGATGCGTGGCGAGGCATTGGGAGGAGCTCTCTGTAAATTAAGCAGAGCACTCCTCCCAGTTTCTCGCCACACGTTAGGCTAATTCTTCCTGTTAAATCGCACGGATGTACACCGACGATCGTGGACTTTTCTTAATTAATTTCTCATTAATTATTGAAAGGAACTTATAAAACAGTAAAGAATTTTTCTATTCATTGCTCAAGTTTACACTACTCTACCTACCCCCTTCGGGTGTTGCACTTATTATCAAATACCTTGTGCATAGATATTATTTTATAAAAAATATTATTGCAGTTATGAAGCATCTCGTGATACGGATACTTTAACTAATTAACTGTAACTATTGTAACACGCAATATATATTTTAACTCGTATTATATTAAAATGTATTTTATAAACGTACTTTTCATCCATTCGGTCTCACGCTTGGAATGCATCATCCAATGCATACGTATATGTGTATGTATGTACGTCATAAATATATATATGTGTATACATATATTTATGTACAGTGTTCCAGAATTATTGTACTTTCTTTCACATACAAATTCTTCGACTTAATTCTCCGACGTTTGGTGTTTCTGAGCTACAGTAACAATTTGGCAGCGTATTCGATCATTAAATCGACCGATAAGAATTGTAGAAATTTAAGCAAAACTTTACTCCACTTCCAATTTAACGGTCAAAATATGACCCAAAAGATCTCGAGTTAAAAATAATATTAATGGCGATTCTACGTGAAATTTTGTCCGGAGAAATAAATCGAAATCTATCGAAGAGTCCGTGATTGAAAGAAGCTATGATGGTTTTGGACTGTAATCTGTACTGACGATATAAGCCGACCAGAATTTGATCGGTTCTGTATGCGTCACTAAAACCACCCCCTAACAAGCTCATGGTAACAACGACTTTTTCCTTATCTAACTCTTTATCTATCTGTATACATATTGATGCGTGTGTTAGTTACGAAACTGGGCTAAGCTACAATGCCGTCGAAAAGGGAAACGGTACGCGGCGAGATTTAATCGAACACTTCACTCTCGTAAAGCTTAAACACGGTAGCTCTACGACACTCTCTATCTTTATGTGTAACTTATCTCAATTTCGTGATTCGGTACGAACACGCGTACGTATATAAACATAATTGAATGCGATCTATTATCATAATAAAAAAATATGCCTACATTAAGCGTAGCTAGGCTGAACATAAATAATTTGTATAACAGAGATTATTATCAATTGTACAATTATATGTCACTATCGATGACAATCGAGATAATGGAAAAAGAAAACGCGATAGTCCTAGATGAAATTGCGTCAAATAAATTGAAGCAAACTAAATTTCGGTGATAGGTGAAGACTCGTTAACGACTTGTAATTCGGAAGAAAAATGCCGTTTCGCGTATTGCAAAAGAGATCGTAATGCCTTTTAAGATAGGATTTTCGTAAATAGATTGCGGTAACGTAAATGGTTCATCCAATTTCGATCAAAAAGAGAGACAAAAAAGAGAGAAAGACAAAAGTTAAGTAAAATAATCTTCTTTGCTCGTGGAAAGGTAAGGAAAGAACAGGCGTTAAGTTAAGGGGGTGGTTTATCGTGACATCGATATCGTTAATCAGACCAGATGATTATTGGGAAATGTGTTTCAGGATTGCATTCGCCTCACGAAGGACTAACCGGTGGCTCCGGTCAAAGTATGCCTGGACTCGCTTACTATCAGCCGGAACATCCTAGCTCTACAGGGGTAGTAAAGTATCCTGAGAATGGACACGACACTCTTTCAGACTTTGTGACGTTTGTCTGTCAAGAAGCCGAAAACACCCAGCAACTTTCTCAGGTAATAGAACGGACGATAGAAACATTTAGGATTATACGCGATGTCTTCTACTTTTCGCGTGTTATTTTTTAACAGCAGAGTCTTGCTTTGGATTCGACATTTTTCTTAGTACAAGTATCGGCGAATGTTATTATTTATCGCAGCTCTCTAATCTTTAGCATCGTATATTCTTGCACTAAATTAAGTTTCAAATTTTAATTTTATTAATATAGTAAGCTCCGTCTGAATGAGTTGAAAGATTCGTAGCGTACTTGTTTCCCCTGAAGTTTTAGTTACCTTTAAGTTACTTTTCGAAAAGATCTCTTTTCACCAATTGAAAAAGACCCCCTTTCAATCTTCACTAAAAAGTTCGATGTAAAAGCCGTTAATCATCTCGATATATCTGTCAAGGAAAAATCTCTGACTTGAGGAACACATTGTTAATTGAATACGATTCCCCGCAGACGCAGCTAACCGGATCGCGCACCGGTATACAAAAGTTCCCGCAGTATTATCCGAGCTCGATGTTACCGCCGCCGCCACCTGCCCCCATGGCCAGACCAGTGGCGATAATAAGATCGACGGGCGAGCTAGCAGCGACGACCGCCAGCTCGCCACCAACATCGTCCACGTCGCCCACAGACCCAGCCGAGCTGGGGCCTAACCAGGAACAGATGACCGCCGCGGCGGTCGGCCTAGTCGGTTCCGCTTGCCAGAATTCTGTCGAATCCGCCGGACGAAAGAGCCCCGCCAGAATTCTCGTTGCACCGCACACCACCAGTAGGGAATATACATTTGCTCATTTTCACTCGCAACCCGGACAGGTAAGCCCTTCATACTACTATTCCTTTCTTGTCGAAGACCCGATTCGGTCTTAGACATTCCAGTCGTTTGCATATCATTCTCTGATCTAAGCTAATTTACATATACCATTGTTATGGCCTGTTTTCGCTGTTGCAGCAAATATTCACGTATCCGACCATTAGCTCAATGTCTGGGGTAATTTCACCGACTAATTTGTCTCTATTCTCGTCTCCTGTTTCGGTAACGAGACCGGTAGCTACTCAAAGGTCGGTTTCTAATGTCCCACCGCGTTGGAATACCGCGCCATTTATCAATTTGGAAGACGATTATAACATGATCGCACCGATCATCGCTGGGACGAACAGCGAGCCACCGACTGCCATGGACGAAGGTGAAACTGAACCCAATGTCTTTAGCAGCATTGAATAGCGATATAAAGTATACTTCTTGTTTGCTTAAAATACAAATCTAACATTTCAGAACGGTATTTTCATCCTGTGCACACGAGTGGCGTAGTGGATAAAAATGGCAGTGGTAATTTAATAGGCAACGAACTAGGAGTAAACACAGATCCTACATCGCATCATCATCAACAGCACCCACAGCAGCAGCAGCAGCAACAAGTACAACAAGCATCTTCGCAACAACAGCAGCAACAAGTAATGGCAGATAAATCAAGCGGGCCTAAATCTCCTCCGTGACAATGGAGTCTGAGAACGGAAAGTCTCGAAAGACTCACAAACTCATCGTGTTTGTCAGGATCGGTACTTAGAGTTGCATATAATAATTATGCCGAAGTCACGGACGAAGCCGGGTTCGAGAATAATTGCCAGGAAGCTATGCCTCGTATTCAATTACGTGATTTAAACTTGCGGAAAATAGAATGCTTAAGAGTTCGATCTTAATCTATACATTATAAAGTGAGAGAATAAGAATGCTTTTTAAGGAATGCGATTGAGAAAAACAAAGAGAGATCCGTTGATTCATATTTATCAGAATGGATTAGTACTATACAAAGTTTCATATTGTGACAACCTAACCAAGTATTCTATAGTTAGTTTATCATGCAGTAGAATGCGCGACGCTTAGAATAGCTGTAAGTTAACGTCGCCGTGCATGCCTTACCTTGCTCGAGAACAGAAACTTGTCTGCGTACAGTATCGTACAAAGAAATATTGTTCAAGCTATAATGTAACGTATTTAGATAAAATGACAAATTTCAAAGTTTCAAAAGTTGGTACAAACAGCTGAACACGATATTACTATTGTATTGTTTTGATCTGTAGATAATTACGTAAACTGCACTTGTATCAATCGATACACGGTCCACACATGAGTTACAAATAATGATCTAAATCGTTTTTCTTTTCATTTCTTTGTCTCCTCATCCCCTTTCTTCCTATCTCTTTCTCTTTCTCTTTTTCATAGTTTTTATGGCTCGAGATATACAAATGAGAGTATCCGAGTTCGCTTATTCACGCTATTTAAGCAATTCTTTCGAAGCTCGCGACCACAATTGTTGCGTATTGCAATATGCTAATTTTCCAGTGCTGCATTATAATTAAAAAAAATTCGTTATCGTCAGCAAAATTATTATGATATGCCCGCAAATACGTTCTTTCTAATAAATATAAAATTACAATGTTATTTTGTTTTCGACGGTAATAATGAAAAGAGGTGTGGAAACTGATTCTTTTTTTTTATGTAGAAACGCGTTTATCTTGTCCTCGCAAACGAAAAATACTCCCCTTCTTTTAACGCGTTATTCGAAAACTTTTCGAAAGATTCCACCCGCGTATTTAAATATTCGTCAGCTGGAATAAAACAGGAATATGTCTATCAACGACTCTTTGTATGTCTGTGCCAAAGTTTCACCTCTTTTTCGAAAAATTATTCTTTTACATTTATTTCAGATCTTGCGTCACATTTTTGAAGCATAAATATATGCAAATTCCGCGTATTTCTATTTTATAGAATTAATTGTGTATTGCGTGTTTAAAGTATAGGCGAGTAAATACGGATGTAGCTTGAACAAATAAAACTTATCTCGTGTTCGCGTATCAAGGTATGTATGAATACTTCATGAGAAACGAATTAGCGACACAATAGTTTATCCGTCGAATAATGGAACTACGAACCATTTCTAGAGTTTTCCGTGCCAATAAAGCAGCACGCGTGCGCACCATTTTTTTTAAATAATGATATTAAATTAAGAACTTCGGATTAACGTGAAAGGAACGTTGGTGGAGAAATGATTCCGCCTTGTAGATCCGTCAAATTCGTACGGATTTACTGATTTACGAACGCGTGATATTTAATAGTTGGAATAAACATAGCATTATCGCGTAATACTCAGGATAGTACTAATATTAAAAAAAGAAGAGAGCTAATAATAACTAGTCATGAGAGACTGCTAATTAGAGACAAATGGATATGTATCGTTTAGTAGCAGACATTAGGCGCTTAATTATTTAAATATGTTATCGGTGATATCGATATACATATATCGAAGGGAAAAAACAGCAGTATTGCATTGAATATAACAGTTATTACGAATAAGGTTCGACTTTTGTATAAATTTTGTTTTCAACAATAATGAATTTTGAGCAACTAAATACATTGAGAAAAGAAATGCAAAAATATGAAATTACTGCTACGAGTTCATTGTATATTATAAAAAATATTCGATTAAGTTACTAATAACTAAAAAAAATTTTTCCGTTATCTCGTAAATGTGACAAGCAAAATGTTTTTGGTATACTCGTAAGTTGATCAAATATTTCAGAAATAATATTCTTAATTTATAAAATTAGGTTTCTCTTTTTTTCATACAAGTGAAAAAGACTTACTTAAATTTGTTTATGTTGCCATCCGTAATCAAAAGAATATAAATGAAATAATGAAAGCAGTTGATTTACGTGAGCGGTATGTTAATAGCCGTATATGCCTTACATTCATACATATAACGAAAAAGATCAATTATCTTATACTAATATTATATTATTATCATTTGTTGAAACAAACAGCTGTACATGTTAGCGTTTTCTTCTTTAATGTGTTCGTTTTTTAGCTTTATTAGCGTTTTAAAATTCGAAGATTTATTTGAGGAGATTCATGATAAGAGGAGGAAAACTATATTTAAAAAATTATTTTTAATTGAATATTTAATTTAATAATACAAATTTTTTCTAACGGTTAACAAGATATATATTACATTAAATTTTATCATAATCGTAATATCTCATAAAACTTATTTTGATATATTTTAATTAATATATTTTGTAGATATACAGCTCTGCTGTTTCTTTAAACGGCAGATAGATCATAAGGCAAGTTTTCACTCTTTTATTAAGTTAATTCCGGTTGATTCTTAAGAATAACGTGTTATCGTTATAATTTTCTAATCAATATAATGTTGAAACAATGATAAAATTGATGATGAAAAGGAGGAATCCAACATATAAGCCATTAGAGAGGCTTTTATCTTTATCTTATTTTTTGAAATAATTTGTTGAATGTTATGTTAGTTACTTGCACATTACATCTGACATTCACATTATCTCCAGTCATACAAGATAGCTAAGAACAAAGAAAGTAAGAACATAAACAATATTACATTGAAATTAATAATCTAATAATATTGTTTTACGATATTAATAATAGCTGTAAAAGCAATTTAAGGAATACAGGAATTCTATGAGATCTCGTACACTGTCTAAAGGTTGACTTGCTAATTTTATAAAGATATATTTACTATGTTGTGTATGAATTTTTCTATATGGTCTCGTTAATGAAAAGTCAATTCAATTTTTTTTTAAATATTTTCTTAGTGTAGAATTTACAAATTATTAAAATGATCTAATTATTTATTATTAATTCTGTATTTCTTATATCAACTCCGTTTAAATTAATTAATAGTATCCTATAAACATTTTGCAAGCACTGTCAAAACGAACAATGTTGTTTAAATTTTAATGCATATTTTCTATATTGATAAAAATAGTTTGTATGTATATTTATTTTATTGGAAAAAACGAAGAGAAATTTATTAAAAATAGAAATTCTGTATACATTATTCCACTTTTTAAGGTAAAATAATATTTAACATTCTGAAAGATACATATAAAACTCTACAGTATATTGTGTGACGAAATAATAAATTACGCAAAAAAGGAAGAAAATTATTTAAAGAAATTTTCGGTATTCACAAAAACAAAAATATTATTGATTGATTAAGTAACAATACTAAATATGCACGTTAGTTCATAATAAAATTAAACATGTTGGCGCAGTTACTTGCGATATTCATGTCATCATAACATCACATTTACAATTACTAGTTATGTATTGAAGATTATAATGGCGATAAAATTGTTCGATATTATTATTAACGTCACAACTAGGCTTATTATTACACTGTTGCAACAACAGTTATCATTACTAGTGTTACCAGTAGTGCTATTACTATTAATTTATTACTTTTAACACTTTTACGTTACAATTAAATACATTATTATATTAATTTTATTATTATTTCTATCTCGTATTACTACACTATTACTACTACGTTTAAAGAATGTTTACTGCAATGTTTATTGCTGTTACTACCACTATTAATATTCGTATGTCTACTATTTTTATTGTAATACTATTTAACTATTAATAATATTATATATTATATTAATTACATCATCAACAACAATAACAATTACTACTATTACTACTACTACTACTACTACTTCTGCTGCTACTACTACTACTACTACTACTGTTACTACTACTATTAATATTACAACTAATGCTACTACTATTATACTATTATTACTACTGCCACAATTGCAGCAGCTGCTACTATTATACTACTATTACTATTGCTACAATTACCACTACTATCACTACTACCTACACTAATATTGCTACTACTACTATTATCGTACTTATCATTCAACCACTACTATTAGTATCATTATGACTACTATTAGTACTACTACTACTTTCACTACAACGAATCCTGATGCTGCTACTTTATTCTCTACTCTAGTCTACTACTACTTCTCTACTATTAGTACCACTCTAACCATCATTACTACTACCATTATTACTACTATCACTACTACTACTACTACTAATCCTACCACCACTACTACTGTTACTACTACTACTATTACAACTACAACTACTATTATTATTACTACTGCTACAACAACTACTACTAGTACTATTAGTCTGATTACCGTGAACATCATCATCACTCCTACCACTACCGTTACTATCACCACTACTCCTACCACAATTATTACTAGTATTAGTGTTACTGCTACCATCACCACCATTATTACTACTATTAGTACTCTTGCTACTCCTAGTATTATTTTTATTGTTATTGCTACTACTACTACTTCTACTATTACTACTACTACTATTCATACAATTACTACTACTACTACTACTACCATCACCACCACCATTACTACTACTATTGTTATTACTACTACTATAACTATTGCTATTACTACCGCCGCCGCCGCCACCACTACTACTACTACACTACTACTACTACTACTACTACTACTATCGCCAGTACTACTACTAATACTACTACTGCTGCTACTGTTGCTGCTCTTACTACTACTATTACGACTATTACTACTATCACTACTAATACTACTATTAATACTACTATTGTTACTATTACTATTATTGCAGGGCATTAATGAGATCATTTTTCGGTTTAGCTTAGTGTAGATGATTGGCTACGTTAATATGGTTTATTGTCGTGACCAATAAACACGCGCCTCAACTACACGTCTTCACCTACACCTATACCGAAAATGGAACTCATTCATGTACAGCATTGTACTACTATGATACTACTGCTAACACCGCTATTATTACTACTACTATCGCTGGTTCTAGTACTACTGCTACTACTATTACTATTACTACTACTACTACTATTAGTACATCACTATCACCACCACAACAGCATTACTATTACTAATATTGCTACTATCTCTATTACTATTATTATTACTATTGTTGTTCCTGTTATATTATTCTTAGCGCTACTATACTTTTACCACTAAAATACTATCGCTATTACTATTATTGTCACTGCTGCTGCTACTGTTACGATAACCATTAACATGATACAACTGTGACTCTCTACTATAACTATTAAATTGCTGCCTTGTGCAGTTAATACCACTATTAATGATTCTATTCTACTGTTCTACTATTCTTATTACTATTGTAATAAATTTATGCTATTATTATATAGCATATTTATATTTCTATTATTAGTATTATTGTTACAACTATTACTACTATTATTACCACTATTAGTACCATTGTTGCACAATTGCTATAATTATTAATTATAATTATATTATTTCTCTACATACAGGCCCACTATTAACAAAGTGTCTAAATAGTCAAACTTGCTAAAGCAAATTTTATCAAATGCTTGTTCGAATGTTTATATGCAAAAAGATACTAAATTTGATTACAAACTCTATTTTACCAGACGATGTCGACAAATTGTCAAAAGAAATACAACAAATTCTGCTGACATACCGTGACAACAAATTGTCACCAAATATCAAGTAAATTTTATTCCATTCGAGTAAGCTTTACTCAGAATGTGG